CTCAGATTAGGGGTGTGAACGAGCCGAGCTGCCTCTTTGAACAGGCTCAAGCTCGAGCTCGAGTCTATTCTGTCGAGCTCGAGCTCGTCGAGTTTGTTCTTTTTTCGATCGAGCTCGAGCTCTTGCCATTTTGTCGAGCTCGAGCTCAAGCTCAAGCTCATTTTGTCGTTTTATTTTTTTAATATTTTTTAATTAATATTTTATTATTATTAAAAAATATTTTAAAAAATTACAAAATCAACAATAAAATGTAATTTTATATTTTTTTATTTATATTTATTTCTATATTATTTTATATTATTTAAATAAAAAATAATATATAAAAAGAATAATTAAAAAAATAAAAATAATAAATAAGGCTCGCGAGCCAGCTCGTGAGCTCACGAACAACTGAAAACTGGCTCGAGCTCGAAAAACTCGAGTTCGAGCTTTTTTCGAGTCGGCTCGGCTTGTTTATCACCCCTAACTCAGACTATTGAACCGCTATTTTGTCAGAATATCGCATCACTAATTATCAAGAACACAATTTTTTGTCGTATTTTTAGCATAACTCATAATTGTATCTATTGTAGCCACTATTTTTCTGGGTATGTGAAGGTTTATTATGATAAAATTTTCCACCAATTTTGTGTCTTTATTCCACCAAAATCCAAAAAAAAAAAACAATCTTATAAAAAGAAGTAGAAGCCTCTATTTTATTTTTACAATTTTAGAATCTGGACATGAAGAAAACAAAATAAATAGATGGAGGAATTTAATTGACGTCGTTGATCATTGTAAATTATAATCTGATTGAATACTTGGAAACTATGAATCATGGTAATTATATTAGGAGAGAGAGAGACAAAAATTTCAAATTGGAATTAATTATTATTATAGTTGAAGGGTATATTAGTAATTAGACGTAATAAACTTTTATATGTATTTACAAAATTGACCATTTTGGCCGGCCAGATTCTGGCCATGAAGCTTTTCCGTTTAACTATTTAATCCAGCGCCGTCTTTATCTAATTGCCTAGGTGGAGGAGTCCTGTCCCAGATTAATACTTATATATTTAAGTAATTAATAAAATTCAATAAATTTGTCTATATGCTTTATTTACTATTCCTTGTTATACATTACTATAGTCTTATAGTTTATTAAGTATAATTATATAGGGGTTATTTTACATACTCCCTAGCCACCAAATAAACTAGTGATAAATCCAAGCCCAAATCATCCTTTGATATATCCCCTTGGAGAAGGGAAAGTAGTAAAGTACTATACTATCCTTATATGCAATTTTCGGCCAAACTGCATTCAGCATTCCTGGTACTGTATTTATTATTTTCGCTGATTTATTTATTATTATTATTATTTTTTTTTATAAATAATAATAAACCTGTTTGTTAAATATATATATATATATATATATATATATATATATATATATATATATATATATATATATATATATATATATATATATATATATGAAAATAACTACATGTAACTATAGTACCTATAGTAATTCGTAGTTATGTTCGTTTTTTTTCCCCATATTTTTAGTCGATCAATTGTATACACACACGAATACTGGCTTATACAAAAGAAATTCATAAACCCCAATAAAAATTTACAAATGTCAATATTTTTATTATAAATCACCTCAGAACCAAAAAAAATAAAAAATTGAAAATACACAAATATATGCATATATAACTACATGTTACTATATATGTATAGTAATGTATACAGTTTGTCAAACACTGCTTCACATGTGACTTCAACCAAATTTTTGACACATTCAAGGAGAGGATCAATGGCTTTCATAAGCTGCAATTGCAAAATCAAAACAAAAAAAAATTACTTAGTTGCAAATCAACAAAATTTGAAGAAACATCAAAACACTCAAGAATCAACAAATACTAAGAGATAGAGAGAGAGGTTATTGATGGGAAATGCTACAAATTTTAAATCAAACATACAGTGAATCCTCACCCGCCCTCGCCTCCTACCAAAACCCTAGGCGCCGCTACTAACCACCCACAGTTTCGCGCACCCACAAATGCAAAAAAATATAGAAATAAATCTGTAAACATAAAAATAAACAAAATTACCATCAAAATATAGATCTCGACGAGAGGAATCCAACGGTGGGTAGCCCGTCAAATTTCGACTGGTGGAACACAAAAAACACCTCCGGCAAGACCATCGTTGTCGAATGAAAAAAAATTACAGAAACAGATCTGCGCTCCAAACTGAATGAAATCACCACCAAAAGAAAGAGCCCGACGAGAGGAATCCAACGGTAGTTAAACCATCGAATTCCGACCACCGGAGAGAGAGTTATGGCTCCGGGAAGCAATTTCACCGGTGGGAGGTTTGTGGAGGCGGGATTTTGAATCTGGGAGAAGAAGAGAGCCGAAATGTGAGTGTCTAGGGTTTAAAACTGATTTTAAAAGGGTATTATAGGTACTTCAGAGGGGCCCAGGGGGTATGTCAAAATATTTTCGAAATTAGGGGGTTTCCCTTAGAGTGTAATCCACTTGGTAGTTAATTCTATATAATTTGGGAATGAGAGGGTCTACAAAATAATCCCAATTATATATAGGGAGTTGTAGTTTGTTCAAGCTAAATAATTATTCAAAGTATAATGTCATAAATTATAGCATATATAAGTCATATTTTCCTAATTTATTATAGGGTTTGAATTTTTAGAAAGAAAAAAAAATTGCTTAATCTCTTTTTTCTTAGAATAAGCACTTTTAAAAAATACTAATATTTTTGGAAGTTAAAACTAATTCCAATTCCATAAAAAAAATATCAAAAATCGGATTTCTTCCGATCGAAATCGTGAAATTTAGAAATTCCAATTTTTTGGTCACGTATATACAAACTACATAATAATATTGATATATAAGTGTATTTTCTAGGGAAAGTAGTCGAATTTTCTAAGACATGTTTGGAAATTAAAATCAAATTAGAAATAGCAATTTGTTACTATGTATTCCAATTATGTTCCAAAACAATCGGATGAATCAGAAATCCAAACATATGAAATTCGAACTGAGAAATATTGTTACTAAATTGGAAATTTTTGCATCAGAATCGACGAAATTCAGAATTTTTATTCCAATTTCCATCCTCAGATACTCAGCGTGCACCAACTAAATTAAATATAACAAAGAATGAATTGAAAACGATTTATTTAAATAAATATAAAGTGGGACCTTTGAGATTAACCCAAGAAAAATATGAACTATGCCAAATATTTATTGCCTCCCCTAACTTCAATCAATTCCTGCAAATACTTACAAGAAACCAAGTCGTTTTGCGCATTCGACACTATCGTTTAGTATTTCTTTCAGTCCGTATTTGAACTCAAATCCCTCTTTTCTCAATTTTGTTAGGTCACATTTACTTCTTCCATCCGGTCCACATTTGAATCTGCAATCAAATAATAACAAGATTTTTTGTAGTATAATCAAATTTAATCCTTAAAATTCAGCTGTCAATGCATCTATATATGTAAGTATAATTATATAAGGCATCGTTTGGTTGGGGAGATTAGCCAGTATTAAATATTAACTAAATAATTGGATTTTGTTCGATATCTGGTATCCCCGATAACTTATCTGGTTGACACGTAAATATTATGTTATCATGGCGTATTTTGCCTTTTAGGTAGTTTTTTTGTTGGATGTCCTGGGATCGGATAAAATATTTGGTGTTTCATTACATCATTTAATCTTATCTTGCCAGCTAAACGAGGCCTAAATGTATAAAAAAATTAACCACTTACCCTTCTAGTATAGGAAATTCGGGGTGAATTTGTTGATAACAATCTGCCATTTCTTCAATCGTACAAGTCTCAACGGCACACAAGAATCGACCTTTGAGCGACGTTTTCTCGATGCAGAAAATATGGGCATCACAAACATCGTCAATGTGCACCATTGGAATCGAACCCAACAATTCTTGCAATAACCGTAGTTGGTCGAAAGCAATTTGATTCCGTAATAATTGTGACAACACATTAGGTAAACTCGAAGGTAGATACGAAAAGAGTGTTTCACCTCCGACAAGCCCACAAGCCAAACTAACCACTTCCATACTTTCACCATTGTTGTACCTCAAAATCTCCTTCTCAGATGATGTCTTTGACTTCACATAATCCTGCACATAACATGCTTGATAAATTGACCAAATGAAGTACATGGCTAACATAATATAAATTATATAATATTGAAAAAAAAACATTTGTGTAAAAGAACAAACTTTAAATTGGTTTGTTAATTCTGACTTTGCAGTGGCGAAGTCAGAATTTAATACGAGGCGTGAGCAAAATATTAAAAGTCTTGATCCAATATATCAATAGCGTCTTGATATGCAATGCTATCTTATATTAATAAGGTTCGAGGGCAGTGCCCTAAGAAATAACACGTACGAGTAAATTATATATTTAATTTTAAACTAAAATAGAATAAATTATGTTCAAAATACGATCATTAGAGCTTTTAACTTAACGAGTTTCACGGGTATTCATAAACATTAAAGCAAAATCGATAAATAATTATAAATTTTAACTAAAAAATATAAAACAAAACACAAGATATGATATTGCAATAGTTCATTAGATGAAATGTATTGGATGGGTTTAGAGGCGAAAACCGGTTGGATTTGATCGGAACTAACACTTTTAAAAAAAATCCATTTTTTTAAGTGAAAAAATTATTCCAATTCCATTCCGGAAAACAATCGGAGAAATTGAAAATAAGAACTTTTGAAATTGAAATGAAAAAAGAATTAATGTTCCAAAATCTTAAATATTTGAATCAGAATCGACAAAATTTGAATCACTACTCGTGATATATTGATAAAAGTTAAACATAATCCAATAATTTATAGTTATTGAAAATAATAATAAAAATAATTTCATAAATTAATAAGTTATAAATTAATGTGTAAATTAATAATTATTAATTTATCGATAAGTTAATATTTCGCTAAAAATTAATAAGATTTTGATGGTCCCAACTATATTAATTTATAGAAGTTAAACTGTATCATAATTAATCTTGAAAATTAACATCACCAAACTCAGCTTCTAATAGTAATTAAATACATATTTATCGTAAAATACGTACGTACCAACACAAAGTCATTGATGTAAGTACACGAGAGATTGAGGTACGGAGTCCAACAAAGCTCATCCATTAGTGGTTTAAAGCAAGATCCATCTTCTTTCAGAGGCGAAGCTGCCGTTATGGACGAAGTGTAAACGAGCCGTTTCACCGTTTTTGATCTAATGCAAAGTTCAGCTATGCTTCTCACTCCATCTATAGCTGCTTCCGATGTATCCTTGTACTGTAAAAATAATAATATATGCAGTTAAAAAAACTGTATAAATTAATATAGTTAGAACTAACAAAATCCTATTAATTTAGCAGAATATTAAATTTTCGAATTTATAATTTAGCACGTTAAGAGAAGTTATTCATTTATCAAGGCGGGTATGTGTGTGTGTGTGAGAGAGAGAGAGAGAGAGAGAGTGAGAGAGAGAGAGAGAGAGAGAGAGAGAGAGAGAGAGAGAGAGAGAAATTGGAAACGAAAGATATACATGGGCGTTCTTGAGAATTTGGGGGCCCTATGCGAGATTTAAAGAACACGTTAAAACGGGGACCCCTATTTGATAAATCACTTTTTATTAAAGGGTGTTCGGAATTTAATATACTAAAATATATAAATAATATTTTCTAAAAATGATAGAATAAAAGATTACGGGGGTTCGGGGGCAGTGCCCCCGAAACATTTTTTGAAATGTATGAATATAAATTAACTTTAAATATGGAAAAAAATCAAAATTAAGAGGATGATTTGCTGGTTCACTTCCTCCCATGACGTATAATCCTTATAGCATATACACTTTATAAATATTTATAAAACTTAAATACACTAATGAATATTGATTGTTACTTTAGGTATAAAAATAATAATTAAGACAATTGTAAAAATATCTATTGATCATTTATTTTAAATTAATTTTAGAACTGATGTTCCAAAATATTATATATATATAATAAATTTTAAAAAATAAGTATTAATATATAAAATAATTTGGGGGCTCTAAATTTTCGTAAAAATCCGGGGGCTTTAGGCGACCGCGTAACTTCGCTTCCCCTCAGAACTGGTCCCTGAGAGCAACTCCAATGGGAGAATCAAATGGAGTATTATACGATAAAACTTCCATTTTGATTCCCAAAACTTAAAATTTCTTCTCCAACGGAAGCATCAAAGGGGTAGTTTTTTTGATTACTTTATCTCCCAGAGGTGCAAAAATGCTCCCAAAAAAACCAAGTATCAAATATTTCTAGAAATTAGGAACTGCAATTTCAACGTAAGAGCAACTCCAGTGGAGGAATTAAATGGGGAATTAAATGGAATAACTTCTATTTTGATGCTCCAAAACATAAAATTTCATCTCCAATGGGGGAATTAAATTGGTAGTTATTTTGATATTCAACTTCCCGAGATGCAAAAATGCATCCTGGAAAAAGAGGTATCAAAACATTAACTACCCAACAAACCAATAAAAAATTGACATGTGTCAATATTAAATATATTTATGCTTATATTTAAAATTAGATGATTCATTTAATGCTTGCGGTTGGAATAAATGAGTATCAAAATAATAAAACGAGTATCAAATTAATATTTGATGATCGATTTTAATACTTTACCATTGGAGTTGCTCTAAAAAGAATATAATTTCTAACAAATTCCTATGGAATAGGGACCAAATATATCTATTAATTTATGTTTAATACATATTTAAAAATAGAATAATTTATTTGATTCCTACGGGTTGGAGCATATAAGTTTTTTCGAAATACCAAAGTATTATTTCAAGCATCAATTAAGGGTTTAGATGCCTCATTTTAATACCTATCATTGGAGTTGCTCTGAAGATGTATAAAAATTATACCTTAGAGTTTTGAATGTGCAATATTGGCGTAGCTACATGAAAAACATATTGGCAGCCTCGAATAGCGGTTTCGAATTCTTGGGGATTGTATATATCAGCTTCGAATAGCTTCAATCTCGTTTCCGCGCTCGGAAGTGACTTTAGAAAGCCCGTTTTCGAGTTTTCGCCTGCACATCATATGCAAAACAAACATATCTATATAGTACATATATAGATAGATACATATGTATATGTATATACATATAGATATGTGATTTGAGAATGAAGGAAGTATATATAGTAGAGTTACCCAAGTTTCTCAAAGTTGCATGGACAGTATAACCTCTGTGTAACAACTTCTTGATGAGACAAGATCCCAGGTATCCAGATCCTCCAGTTACACATACTTTTATATCTTTGCTAATTATTTCCATATAAGTATTCCTTAGCTTGCTTATATAGATCATATATAGGTATATTAATGGCGGCAGTTGAAAATAGCACGATTATCATTTATCGTTGTCCACTTTGTTTGTGTGGTGTGGAGGAAATGAGACCCACATTTATCTTATGCCAATTTAACAATATTAAATAATGTTTTTTTTTTTTGTACGTACTTATTTGGGGTGGTTAGCAACTCCAATGGTTGACATTAAAATGGATTATCAATTATTCAATTGATGTTTGAAATAATATTTTAATAGTAATTCTAAAAAATTCTTGTGTTCAGATTATTATATAAATAAAATTGAACTAAAAACAAATTAATAGATATATTTATGCCCTATTATATAGGAATTTGTTGACACTTTAATTTTTGTCCGTTGAGATTGTGGTTCATAAAATTAAGGAATATTTGATTCTTTTCTTTTTGAGGTGCATTTTTTCAACTCCACGAGGTGAAGTATAAAAAAAAAACTACTAATTTAATGTCTCTACTGAAGTGGGATTTTTGTGTTTTGATGAAGTATCAAAATGGTAGTGTTATCATTTGATACTCCATTTAATTCCTCCATTGGATTTACTCTTATGAACTATGCTGCACGGACACTTCTAGAAGGTGAAGAGTCCCCGTATCCGACACCTGGACACTCGGATACACCCGGACACTTCTCGGACACCCGTGTCGGGCCGTGTCGTAATTTCGCTAAAAGTAGGACACCCGTGTCGGGCAGTGTCCACAATTTTAAAAAAGTTGGGATACTTCTCTTACGTTTTAAGATAGCCCTAATAAAAAAAATGCACATTTTCTTTTCTCTGTAATACACATTTCTTCTGATTTATTTGTGAGTCCACCCAAAACTCCAAAAGTCTAGCATGCGACGGCGACCAAGAACACGAGCAACAAGGGCGAGCGGTTCTCTTATGCGATGACGACTTATTCATATTTTTTACAATTTATAAATGTACCCCTATATTTTTATTATTTATAAATATACCCCTATATTTTTTATATTTACGCGTATCCCCCACGTGTCCGTATCCTAGTTTTTTGGAAATGCCGTATCACCGTGTCCGTATCCGCGTATCGCCGTGTCCACGTATCCGTGTCCATGCATCATAGCTTATAACATAAAAAGAAAATAAAATTAAATAAATTAAATAAAAAATAATTGGTTTTAATTTGGTTCGATTTTTGGCGCTGTTCATACGTGAGAAAGGCCAAAATAATTTTGTCCGGTGAACTTCGTTGAATACATATATGTGTATGCATGTGTGAGACTGAATGTAGATTTACAATGACATATTACTAAGTGTACTTAATTCGGTGTAGCATTTACAAGCGGTTGTATCGGTGTGTAATTAAACCGATTTCTACGTGTTGATCGATATTAGTTATTGAATTAGGGGTGATAAATAACTAGTTCGTAAGAAGTATTTAGTATTTATTTAGAGAATAATAAAACTTAGATAAGTCGTCTTTATTGGAAAAATCAAATTGTTAGAACAAACTCTGGATTTAACGAACACTCGACAAGATCAACGACACGAACCAATCATCTTTAGGAGTTGGAACATAGCCTAAATCATTACAAGAAGCCGAGCCGTTTTGCGCATTCAACACTGTCGTTTAGTATCTCTTTCAGTCCGTACTTGAACTCAAATCCCTCTTTTCTCAATTTCGATAGCTCGCATTTGCTTCTCCCATCCGGTCCACATTTGAATCTGAAATCGAATAAAAAACAAAAATTCCTTACTATAATTGAATTGGTAATTCAAAATATCTTTGCTATATATATAGACTTGTCATCTTAATGCACCTATGAAGGTAAATAAAATTATAATTATTTACCACACACAATGAAATTATTAGTATTAATTGCAACATTGGTACCTCTGTGTTATATCGAATTATCGAAAAAGACTACCCTATATTTTTTATTGGCAAAAACCCCTCGGTACCCTGTTTAGGGGGTTGTGTGCTAAATAATTAAATTGGGGGAGAGGGGAGGGGAGGGGAGGGGTGGGGTTGCCAATAAATAACTCAAGTCAACTTTGTAACAATTAGATGTAACACAGGGGTACTAATTGCAATAAACCAAGTATTTAAAATACGATTTGAAAAAAAAAACTAAATAAATTAGGGAAAATAGAGTTTTGGTCCCTCAAGTTTGCATCAATTCCACATTTGGACCTTCATGTTCACAAAAAAACACATTTGGTCCCTCATATTTAAAAATCAACACTTTTAGCCATTTCCGTCAATTTCCGATTAGTACTGACGGAATCAAGTGCCTTATCTGACGGAGTGATGGTAAATTGAAGAAAATGACCAACAATGATAAATTGTTGAAACATGAGGGACCAAATGTATGTTTTTTTAACATAAATGACCAAATGTGAAATAATTGCAAAATTGAGGGGTGAAAACTGTAATTTTCCCAAATAAATTAACAACTCACCCTTCTGGTACAGGAAACTCAGGGTGAATTTGTTGATAGCAATCTGCAATTTCTTCAACGGTACAACTCTCAGCAGCACACAAGAATCGGCCATTGATTGAAGTTTTCCCAATACAGAAAATATGGGCATCACAAACATCGTCAATATGCACCATTGGAATCGAACCCATCAATTCTTGCAAGAACATCAACGCATCGAAAGCGCTTCGATCCCCAATCAACTGTGACAAAACAACCGGTAAACTCGACGGCAGATACGAAAGAAGTGTTTCTCCTCCGACAAGCCCACAAGCCAAGCTAACCACTTCCATACTTCCATTATCGTACCTCAAGATCTCCTTCTCAGATAATGTCTTTGACTTCACATAATCCTGCACACAACCTGTTTGATAAATGTCCTGAATGAAAAAATAAAGAACAGGGGTGTAACTGTAAATATGTACCAAGTTGAAGTCAGTGCTGTAAGTATATGAGAGATTAAGAGGGCTCCAGCAGAATTCATCCATTACTGGTTTAAAGCAAGATCCATCTTCGGTTAGAGGTGAAGCCGCCATTACGGAGGAAGTGTACACGAGCCGTTTCACCGTCTGCGATCTAAGGCAAGATTCCGCTATGCTTTTCACCCCTGCTATAGCTGCTTCTGTTGTATCCTTGTACTTTAAATAAATAATAATAAGAAGGAAAAAGATTTAAAAAAAATAAGTCCTTGGTAATTAAATTAATTCACGCGTAGATTAAACGAAAACCGACCGTAGAGTTTTGAGTGTGCAACAATGGGGTAGCCATATGGAAAACATATTGGCATCCTTGAATAGCTGTCTCGAATTCTCGGGGATTGTATATATCGGCTTCGAATAACTTTAATCTCGTTTCTGCACCCGGCAGTGTGTTTAGAAGGCTCGTTTTCGAGTTTTCGCCTGCAACATCATATCTATATATATTTAGTAAAACGTGCGGTTTCGCTTCGTGTGTGTGTAACAATAGATAGCTCGTAATTAGTAATATGTAACAACTAACGAATCGATGACAAATTACCCAAGTTTCTCAAAGTTGTATGAACGGTGAAACCTCCGTGCAACAGCTTTTTGACGAGACAAGATCCTAGGTATCCGGATCCTCCCGTAACACAAACTTTTATATCGATATTGTTCATCTTCTCCGAATATTGATCTGTCTTTCGAATTTTTGATTCTTTGTTTGATGTAAATTGCAGATGGAAATAGCATGCAATATTATTTGCTTTTGCCTCACCTACCAATTGTTAAAATAAATAAGTTCATGGTTTTAGTTTTTAGGGTGAATTACGAAAACACCCTTGAACTTAGGCTAAATTATGAAAAACACCCCTACCTATCCATAATTACTAAAATTCCCCAGACGTTTGTTTTCTTCTTACACTGATCCCCTTATGGTGTGATTTTTCACGGAATCTTTTCGATTCCGGTTAATATTTCTCGAAAAATATCAGTTCTACCTCTGCTAACGTAGCATAAAGAAATACCACGTCTGCATGGGTAGAATCGGTACTTTTCAGAAATATTACTTGGATTCTTGGAATAAAATAGATTTCATGAAAAATCGCACCGTAAGGGGGTCTGTGTAAGATGAAAACAAACATAGGGGGGATTTTGGTAATTAAGGATAGGTGGGGTGTTTTTCGTAATTTAGCCTAAGTTCAGGATTGTTTTTTTGTTTTTTTTTTGATAATTACCCTATTTTGTAATCAACTAACTTCGTGGTGATTGGTGACGACACATCGACAATCAATATGGTTGTTCCCCAGATAAATACTAATGCATGCAGACAATTTATGTTATTTATAAATTAGTCAACTTTCCCCTGTTTGTAATTCATAACGTTGACGTTACAACGGAAATTCTTATTTTTGAAAAATTATGATTTTTTTTAGAAAATTTCCATCGGTTTATGAAATAATAAAATTTATGTGATTTTTGAAAAAACATTCTTCAAAATTCCAAAATTTTCGGGAATTTTGGAATTGGAGAATTTTTAGATTGCGAAAATTTTGGAATAAGAATTGAAATTGATTTTGTACTCTTGATTTTTTTTGTGAAAAAACTAATTTCGATCCGTTCCATCCGACTTTCACCTTTTGTCTAGAATAAGTAATTTAAAGTGAAGTTGGTTTGTTGTACCTAACCTTATTACTTATACAATAATCTTGAAAAGATCACTAAACAACCAACTCCAAAAAAATATTTCAAATGACTAATATTTTATTTCTAAGAGGTATGAGATTTACACATGATCTTTTATTCTTGGGTAAATGACAAACACCTCTGAGGTATGGTCAAATTACAAAAAAAACCTCTTGTTTGGATAATTACAACCATTCCCTTAACTCATCAAATTTAGTGGAATCTTCGAGATTATATAGAATATTATCACTTTTGTACCCGTTTTATCTTATTCGAACTCTACGTTTTGAAGCAAAATGATCATAATATGTATTTTTTGGCTTGTATATATCAGAATGTGGTGCATCAGAAACAATATTTTTACATAAAACGAGTACAAACTAGAGCACACCTCACATAATCTAGATGATTATGTTGAATTTGACACTATAAGGGTGGAGGTGTAAGAAAAAATCATAGTTGAGGGGTAGATGTAATTATCCAAACAAGAGGGATTTTTTTGTAAATTGACCATACCTCAAGGGGGTGTTTGTAATTTACCCTTTATTCTTTTCTTAGATTGAAGGAACAAAGTACATAGTTGAGGAGCAAAAGTGAAATTTTACCCAAGGAATGAAGCATGTCCAAAACACAAATCTAGTCACATATGCAAGCAGCGTTTGCCTTGTGAAAATTGGACAATGTTCTAATTATTTATGGAAAAATAAAATAAAATATCCTACGATTAAAAATCTTGCAAGAACCCGAGTCTTTTCGCGCATTGTACACTGTCGTTGAGTATTTCTTTTAGCCGGTACTTGAACTTAAATCCCTCTTTCCTCAATTTCCACAGGTCACATTTGCTTCCTCCCCTCGGTTCACATTCGAACCTGAATTCAAATTGAAACAAGAATTAATCCGGTTTTTTTTAAATCCGTAAACTAACAAAAACCAAAGTTCAAGAACAGTCAAATCAACATTACACCCGATGAAATGTAGACTGAATTGTGATTATTGCATAAAATTAACATTTCAAAAAACACATTCTTACTTACCCTTCTTGTATCTGGCATAAGGGGTAAATTTCTTGATAGCAAATTGCGATTTCTTCAATAGTCCGACTCTCGGCGGCACAAAGAAATCGACCTTTGAGTGAACTTTTCTCGATGCAGAAAATATGGGCGTCACAAACATCTTCAATGTGCACCACAGGAATCGACCCCATCAATTCTTGCGAGAACCTTAATTGTCTTAAATAAATTTGGTCACTTGTTAACTGCGACAGCACAACCGGTAAACTCGAAGGTAGATACGAAAGAAGTGTTTCTCCTCCAACAAGCCCACAAGCCAAACTAACCACTTCCATCTCCCCTTCACTTCGTTTTTCGTTATTGTACCGTAAAATCTCTTTCTCGGATAACGTCTTTGATTTGATATATTCCTAAATGTACAAAAGAAAACCTAGCATTCAAGTTACATGACAAAGTCTTTGATTTGATATATTCCTAAATGTACAAAAGAAAAACTGGCATTCAAGTTACATGACAAAGTTAAAGTAATAGTTGAACTGTTGAATAACCATCTCAACCAACAGCTTAAGCTTTTAGTGAAATGTATTATTTAATATTAATATTTCTAATACGCCCTATGAAGTGCAGGCGAATTACATTTGAAGTCTTGCACTTAAAATATTTGAAATGGGTGGCGGCGGAATTCGAACTGAGGACCTGATACCACGTTGAACGATCATTTCTACCAAAAACTTAAGTTTATAGTGAAACTATATTTACATTAAAGATTGAATTGCTTGAGAGAAGAATCAGTACCAAATCAAATTGACTGTTGTAAGTGTACGAGAGATCGAGAGGGCTCCAACAGAATTCATCCATTAGTGGTTTAAACTTTAAAGCAAGATCCATCTTCCGTTAGAGGTGAAGCTGCCATTAATACGGAGGAAGTGTACACGAGCCGTTTCACCGTTTGCGATCTAAGGCAATATTCAGCTATGCTTTTGACCCCTGCTACAACTGCTTCACTTGTATCCTTGTACTGTAAAATTATTAAAGAATCGATAAAAATTCCCTTCGAACATTTGAATAATCTCAAGATGGGAAATTAAAAAAAAGGTAAATACACTTTGCACCCCTGAAGTATAGTATATGTAACACTTACTCCCTTAAAGTATCATTTGTAACACTTACCCCATCAATATCAATTATTTTATATTTCAAAATCCAAAACATAATAAACATAACAATCTAATAATTATCGGATCATATAAAATTGAAAAATAACTAAAATTAATTTATTGGAAATTAATTAAAAAGTAATATATATTGTATAGTAATGAATGAAATATATTTTAAGAAATTAATGAACTAAAATATATTTAAATACTTAAGATTACTATTAGTTATGTATTGATTTCTTAAAATTTATCGATATGAATATATTCGATTAATTGGTCAAGCAACAATTAGATGCTATGATTGTTATCTATTAAATATGTACCCAACATATAATATTTTCAAATTTTAAAATGTTGCATATTTCAATATATAATTTTAGTTGTATAATGTTATTATCTTTTAGTTATTGCTTTCAATAAAAGAAAAAAAATTAAGGTATTAGAATTTAAAATATAAATTAAATTGTGCTTGAGGGGGTAAGTGGTACAAATGATAATTTAAGGGGGTAAGTGTTACAGATGGTATTTTTTTTTTGATCGATGTGTTACAGATGGTATACTTTAGCGGTGTAAACTGTATTTAGTTAACCCTAAAAAATAAAAATAAAACCGGAGTGTGAAGCATTGGTGTAGCCACATGAAAAACATATTGGCACCCGTCAATAGCTGTCTCAAATTCTTGAGGATTGTATATATCAGCTTCGAATAACTTTAATCTCGTTTCCGCACTCGGAAGTGACTTTAGAAGGCTCGTTTTCGACTTTTCGCCTGCACATCATCATATGCAACAACACATCTATATACAATACAAGAACGTACACATAAAAGACATGAGGAAGAGAAATACCCAAATTTCGCAGTGTTGCATGGACGGTGTAACCTTTGTGTAATAGCTTTCTGACGAGACAAGATCCGAGGTATCCAGAACCTCCCGTAACACAAACTATTACACCATTGCCCTTCTCCATTGAAGAAAAAACCTTTTTCTTTTGTCTTACAAATAGTAATTGTTCATGCATCTTTAAAGGGCAATAGGGAATTTAAATAAAAAAAAATAAAAAATTCAAAGCTCTTTATTTTCTGAACTAACATACCTAAAAAGAAGGTACCAGCTGTACCACCTATGACGAAAATCTGGAATGCAAGAATTAAGTCCTAGTGTTCGTGTCGAACTGAATTAAGGTACGTGCAAGTTTGGACCACGTTGCTAAAACTCGAAACATTAAAAACGACACATGGGATGGGAGTCATTTGTCATATATCGCCTTAATTACTATCTTTTATTTTTTCTGTGGTGGAGGAACCTGCAGTCAACCATATAGGAGCACTAGGTAAACCTACACTTTTGTATACAACTTATTATACGGTAAGGCCTCGTTTGGTAGAATTGAATTATTATTACTAATCAAGGCTAATATTTTTATTTTATGGTGTTTCTTTATGCCAATGATTCAATTTGGGGCCGCAACGTAATCAAACGATTTGCTCGATAATTGATCAAGCAGTTTTTATGCGAAATTATATGCAATGATCACATCGTTCCTATCAAACGAGCCCTACGAGGAAGCCGAATCCAGCCAATGCATCCATTTCTAATCTTGAAAATTGGAATAGGAGTTTGGATTGGAACAATCCGGATGTGATAAAATGTTAAATATTTTCTAGATGCGTTTCGAAATCGGGAATTTCTTTTATTTTTATATTACTTGTTTTATATGTACAAGGCGTTTTTTTTGTGTTGACATGTGAATGGAAAATTTATATGCCCTGCCCTTGGTTAAAAATTGAACGTTGCGACGAACATTTTTGGGATTTGAGCCCTCGATTGTAAAATGAATTGGTTCGAAGAAAGTACCGACGAAAGAGAGATGTAAAAATACTTCGTGTAAATTTTGTGTTATTTTCATTCTTGAAATTGTTGTTCATCTTGAATTTATTAATTTCACGTTGAGTAATTAGTTAGTTAGTTAATAAGATGTTAAATTATAAAGTATATCGAGTAAATCCTTCCTTGCTTTTTTTATTTATTGTCTTGAAGAAAAATATTTATTTTAAATTATTCCTCTCTTTAGAATTTCAGTATACTATTTTATTATATTTTTCTCAATTTTGCGCATATTATTCTTAATTTATCACGAGAGAAATACGGTAACACAATTAATGAGAGGGAATATTTTTGTCAATTGATGCGGGCGTAGTAAAAAAATTAATAATTATGCATGGATTTCAGGGCAAACCATATAATAAGTGAGAGATAATTAAAAGTAGGAAAAACAAAATTAAGAAAAAAAAAATTTAAATCATCGTCGAAATTTTTAAGTGACAGATAATACACATCATGAAAAGTTTACGAAAATATTAAAATGGAAAATCCACGGAAGTGAAATTTAAATTGAAACAAAGCGAGTACGATTCAGCCAAACGATTCTATCTTATAGCACACGTGAAACACATTTGATAGTTTATAAAAAGCTTTTGTCAACTTTCCCCTGTTTGTAATTCACAACGTTGACGTTTCAACGGATGTTCTTAATTTTGAAATTTTGAAATTTTTTTAGAAAATTTCCATCGGTTTATGAAATTTTAAAACTTATGTGATTTTCGAAATTCCAAAATTTCGAGAAATTTTGGAATTATAATAAATATTTAGATTGTAAAAATTTTGTAATTGGAACTGAAATTGATTTTGTACTTCTGATTTGTTTTCGAAAAAACTAATTTCGACCTATTACATCCGACTTTCACGCTTTGTCTAGAATAAGGAATTTAAAGTGAAGTTGGTTTGTTGTACCTAACCTTATTACTTATACAATAATATTGAAAACATCACTAAACTACCAACTCCAAAAAAATATTTCAAATGACTAATATTTTATTTCCGAGAGGTATGAGTTTTAAACACGATCTTTTATTCTTTTCTTAGATAGAAGGAATAAAGTACATAGTTGAGGGGCAAAAGTGAAATTTTACCCAAGGAAAGAAGCATGTCCACAACACAAATTTAGGCACACATGCAAGAGGCCTTTGCCATGTGAAAATTGGACAATGTTCTGATTATTTATGGAAAAATAAAATATCCTATGATTTCAAACTTGCAAGAACCCGAGTTTCTTTGCGCATTGGACACTGTCATTGAGTATTTCTTTCAGTCCGTACTTGAACTCAAATCCCTCTTTCCTCAATTTCGACAGGTCACATTTGCTTCCTTCCCTCGGTTCATACTCGAACCTGAATTCAAATTGTAACAAGAATTAATCCGGTCTTTTTTTAAATCCGTAACAAGTTCAAGAACAGTCAAATCAATACAACACGCGATGAAGTGTACACTGAATAGTGATTATTGCATAAAATAAACATTTCAAGAAACATATTCTTACTTACCTTTCTTGTATCTGGCATAAGGGGTAAATTTCTTGATAGCAAATTGCGATTTCTTCAATAGTTCGACTCTCGGCAGCACAAAAAAATCGACCTTTTAGTGAATTTTTCTCAATGCAAAAAATATGGGCGTCACAAACATCTTCAATGTGCACCACAGGAACCGAACCCATCAATTCTTGCAAGAACCTTAATTCTCTTAAATATATTTGGTCACATGTTAACTGCGACAACACAAGCAGTAAACTCGAAGGTAGATACGAAAGAAGTGTTTCCCCTCCAACAAGCCCACATGCCAAACTAACCACTTCCATCTCCCATTCACTTTGTTTTTCGTTATTGTACCGTAAAATCTCTTTCTCGGATAGGGTCTTTGATTTGATATAGTCCTAAAATGTAGGGAAAAAAAATATTGATCTTCAATTGGCATTCAAGTTACCTCACAAATTTAATGTAATAGTTGAATGACCATCTCAAGAAACAGCTAAGCTTTTAGTCAAATCTATCATTTAAAATATTAACATTTTCAATAAGTCCCCCTCAAGTACAGGCGAATTATATTTGAAGCATTGCATTTGAAATATTTGAAATGAGTGACGGTGGGATTCGAACTCAGGACCTTTCATTTTGGCTAGCTCTGATACTATGTTGAACTATCATTTCTACCAGAAGTTTAAGCTTATAGTGAAATGTATCGGTGAATATTAATATCTAGATCCAAATATTTACACTAAAGATTGAATTGCTAGTGAGAATAATCGGTACCAAGTCAAATTGACTGCTGTAAGTGTACGAGCGATCGAGAGGGCTCCAACATAATTCATCCATGAGTGGTTTAAAGCAAGATCCATCTTCGGTTAGAGGTGAAGCGGCCATTAAGGAGGAAGTGTACACGAGTCGTTTCACCGTTTGCGATCTAAGGCAAGATTCAGCTATGCTTTTCACCCCTCCTACAGCTGCTTCACTTATATCCTTGTACTATAAAATAAATAAGTAATCCATAAAAATTCCCTTCGAACATTCGAGAAATCTCAGGATAGGAAAAAAAAAAAACCCGACTTTTGTGTTTCGAGTATGAAGCATTGGTGTAGCCACATGAAAAACATACTGGCACCCTTCAATAGCTGTCTCAAATTCTTGAGGATTGTATATATCAGCTTCGAATAACTTTAATCTCGTCTCCGCACTCGGAAGCGACTTTAGAAGGCTCGTTTTCGACTTTTCGCCTGCATATTGTATGCAACAACACATATACAATATATTATACATACATCATACAAGAACATACAAATAAAACTAAAAGATGTAAGGAAGAAATTAAATACCCAGGTTTCGCAGTGTTGCATGGACATTATAACCTTTGTCTAATAGCTTTCTGACGAGACAAGATCCGAGGTATCCAGAAGCTCCGGTAACACAAACTATTACACCATTGCCCTTCTCCATTGAATTTAAGAAGAAACCTTTTCTTTCGTCTTACAAATTGAAATGGCTGATGCATCTTTCAAGGGCAATAGGGAATTTAAATAAAAAATAAAAAATAAAAAATAAAAAGAAATTCAAAGCTCTTTATTTTCTGAACTAACATACCTAAAAAGAAGGTACCAGTACCACCTATGACGAAAATCTGGAATGCAAGAATTAAATCCTAGCGTTCGTGTCGAACTGAATTTGGGTACGTGCAAGTTTGGACCACGTTGCTAAAAGTCGAAACATTAAAAACGACTCATGGGAGGAGTCAATTGTCATCGTCGTTACTATCTTTTTTTTTTTTTTTTTTTTGGTGGTACCTGCAGTCAACCATATATGTGCACTGGGTCAACCTACACTTTCGTATAACAACTTGCAAAGGATACCAGAGACGTGCCTTACTATCATTACCGGAGACTATGATATGGTTTAATAATTAAAAAAAAAAAAAAAAAAAAAGCTAATGGTGAAGTAAAACGCATATCTACATAGAATCTTTACATTCCTAACCCTTATTATAAAGTAAGGCCTCGTTTGGTAGAATGGAATTATTATTACTAATCAAGGCTAGTATTTTTATTTGATAGTGTTGTTTATACCATAATTGAAAACGAAATTTAGATTTATTTTTAAGATATAATGTTTTTAAAAATTATTATATTTTTCAATTGTCCATTGTTTTTTTCAGAGTGATTATTACGAAAACAATTTAATATAAAAAAATGGATTGTTTCATCACGTCCTTTCGTTTGATCCTAATGGTGTAGCCCGTGGGCTTTTCAGATGGGCCTTGGTAATTCGTTATAAGGATTATTCTTCATCTCAGAAATTTGTTTATTTTATCATATTTAAATTTACAAAACTTCTACCGGAAAATAAAAAATCGATGTGGTTTTTCAACGAAAGTTTTAAAAATATCAATAAATATGTCTTGATTTTAGGAAAAATAGATTCTGATAGACCAAAATATCCTTGTTTACTAATTAATGCAGAAACAGTGTTGGAGAGTTAATAAGAGTATTAATTGAAGAAAAATATGTGAGTAATGCAGTGTTGGACTTGTAAAGTGACAGATAATATGAAACAAAATAAATATGCAAAAGATATAGATATTATGGAAATGAAGTATTATTTTATTAATTAAACTCTAGTTAGGCACAATGAATACCAAAGGTATTAGTGGGAGCAACACCGAAAGTGAATCCGCCGGAAGCCGTTCTTCTGACCAAAGGCCGGATCTCCGGCGAAAGCCCATCGGATTCCGCAACTTCCGGTATGGTAGAAAGTGCAGTAGAACTTTGATCATCATAGATGGGAGCATGAGGCTTGCGGCTGTAGAAAGTAGAAGTGTAAACTTGTTGAGACTAAAATGTAGAAGTTGTGTTCTAATTAGACTTTTGCCCTAATTAATGATTGTTAATTCAAAATAATTTTTAATCTAGGGGTATTGCATATTTCCCCTTAATTTATACGTGGAATAAAATTTATATGAATTTTCTAATCTGAATTATATATCTTG